AATCATTGTCACTTCGAAGAATCGTTTACAGGACATTTTCCACGCTTTGAATTTTTATTACATTCGGTGGGAAGAATTCGAATGCGCTTCATAGAAGAATCCACAGGATGTTTTAGAGTTTGGCTCAAAATTCTGACTTGAGTCGGTGCGATAGTGCAATTGTATAAGAAGATTGCGTACCTTTGCAGCCTGTGATGAAGACGGCTCATCGAATAGCCGCCATATTCGAGGCTTTAACTTTTGCCAGGCCGACAACGAATCATTATGGAAATCGTCTTCCCAGCCAAATCTGTACACATCAAATTAGCACTTATTTTTCGAAATTTTAAATCAATATGAGCAACTTGTATTTCATTTCATGCTTTCATGCTCCAACTGGTCGAACATTTCAATAAGATCCGACTATTTGGGACAAATGTTCAATTGATGGAAGAAATGATAAATGCGCTGAGACAGTATGCTTTCCATAAATGGGTCATCAAATGAATGCTTCAGCAAATGACTAAATAAACCAGTGGATTAGTGAATGATCAGCTCGTAAATTAAACAATGAATAAACAAAAAATTAGTGAACGAAAACGATTAAAAAGTCAAGTGATAATTGTGTAATAACCTTCGGTAAATTTCCTCTTGATTATTGATCAATTCTTCATCAAAGTCAAGATCGAGCTTATCAAGTGTGGCCAATACCTCCTGAGTATCTCTATGTTGAGTGTATGTCATCCAACAACATGGCTCTACTTCGTTCGCATCTAAACCCCAATACTAAAATTTTATCATGTTTATTTCCGAACTCAGTCTTGTCCATAAATTCTTGAAAAAAACATTACAAACTATTTACAGACAAGACTAAATTACTGTAAGTGTTTGGCTCTTCAATAGATCACTGTTAGCGAAAAAAAGTCATTTAATTTTTATTGCACCGACATTTCACACGTCACTCGTGTCAGTCTCAACTACTACTTCCAACAATTGTTGATTCTCATCGTTATCGTTAATATTAACATCATCATCATTATCAGTGACGTGACTGGTGCTGCTGCCATTATTACTCTATTATGTTCATAGCTGTTGCTGTTATCACTGAAATCTTATCATGCCAGCTAATTTTATCACTGCGTCCTCTCTGTTCATCATCGGATTTTGGAGTGAATTGAGGGAATGTTTCATAGTTGAAATAGTTTTATGTTGCGTTTTCAAAAATTATGTTTCTCTTCCGGTGGCTCAGTGGGACAAAAGAATGAACTGGCCGCTAACGATGGGTGAATAATGCATGAAAGGTTTTGTTGAAAGGAGACAATTTAAACGATTCGTATGAATAGACGACGTTTTCTTTGGCGAAAAAAGAAACGCATTCATTCATTTAACATTGTATATGTGCGTTTACGTGCGCATATTTTATCTTTTCATGCTTTTTCGCATGTGCCAAATGCATTGCAAATGTCAAATACGGCCAATCCTCAACTACTTACAGTGAATGATGAATAGTGAAAAATTTTTCGGAGAAAATCGTCGCCGAACGAAAACTTTGTAAATTGATTAATTATTCAGTATCGCTGAGAATATTGCTTTATGTTGTGGATGATCCACTGATGATGTGAAATATTGAATTACCCACTAATGAATTATGAATGCAGGTTTGGTACTATGTACATTTGAAACAAATCATAAATTATACATTCGACCGACGATTCACTTATATTATCATATGGAACTTCTTTTGGTGCTTAGGGTTAGAACCATAAATATTCATTCGTTTATTGGCCGTATTTGGAACTTTTACGGTCAATTCAAACGTTCACGAATAACTCACAACCCATAATCCATATCTTCTTAATCACCTTTTTCGGTTGCATTCATCATTTCAAAATATAGTACGAACTAGTGTTCGTCGGGGAGCAATTTTTTGCA